CCTGACTTTAAATTATACTACAAAGCCACAGTGATAAAAACAGCATGGTAGTGGCAAAAGAACAGACCTGAGAGGGACTGGAGATTTAGCTTAGTGGTGCCCCTGCCTGCCTCACAAGCTCAAGGTCCTGAGTTCAATCTCCGGTACCAAAAACAAAAACAAAAAACAATAAAAAGGTGTTGGACAAAATGGCTTTCTACATGCCAAAGATTGAAACTAGACCCATATATTTCACCATACACTAACCTAAAATCGAAATGGATCAAAGATCTAAATATTAAAACAGAAACACTAAATCTGCTGGAAGAGAGAATAGGTAGAACGCTTGTAGACATAGGAGTAGGCAAAGACTTCATCAACAAAACCCAGACCACATGAGAAATACTACAAAGAACCTGGGACCTCATCTTATTAAAAAAGCTTTTGCATAGCAAGAGAAACCAACAGGGTGAATAGACAATCCACAAAGTGGGAAAAATTTTTTACCAGCTATTCAGATAAAGGACTGTTATCTAGAATATGTGTTACTCAAAAAACTCAGACTCCCCCCAAATTTAAAGGCCCAATGCAAAAATGGGCATTTGAAATAAAAAGACACGTCTCAGATGAAGAATTAGAAATGGCAAATAAATACATGAAAAAAGCCGGGTATTTAGCTCAGTGGTGCTGCCGCCTGCCTTGCAGGCACAAGGTCCTGAGTTCGATTCCCAGTACCCAAGATAGATAAATAAATAAATAAATAAATAAATGAAAAAGTGTTCAAAATCACTGGTCATTTAAGAGATGGAAATTAAAACAATGCTGAGCTTCCACCTCCAGAAATAATGGCTGCTAACAAGAAATCAACCAATAACAAATTCTGGAGGGGCTGTGGGGAAAAAGGAACACTTTTCCACTGGTGGTGGGAGTGCAGACTGGTGCAACCACTGTGGAAATCAGTGTGGAGATTTCTCAAAGTAAAACTAGAGGTTCCATTTGACCCAGCTATACCTCTTTTTGGTATCTTCCCGAAAGAATTAAAAGCATCATACCACAGCGACATATCCATACCCATGTTTACAGTAGCACAGTTTGTAATAGCTAAATCTTGGAAACAGCCCAAATGCCCACCAACTGACAAGTGGATAAAGAAGATGTGGGTTTTTTTCATACAATGGAGTACTACTCTGCCATAAAGAAGGATGAGCTTCAGACATTTATAGCTAAATGGATGGACCTTGAGACCATACTTTTTTTTTGGTACCGGGGATACCGGGCAGGCGGCGGTGGAACCACTGAGCTAGATCCCCGGCCCTTGAGACCATACTCTTAAGTAAATTGGACACACATGTTTAAACACCACATTGTTTCTCTGGTATGAGAAACTGAATGTGGAAATAAGGACTGAGATATATGATGGATGTTGGGAAATGGGAAGAAAATATTCAGCTCACAACATTTTTTTTTTTTGGTACTGGGGATCAAACTCAGGACCTTGCATTTGTCAGGCAGGTGGCAGCACCACTGAGCTAAATCCCCAGCCCTGCAAAGAAAATATTCAAATGGGAAGGGGAATAAGGGAAGAGGGAGGAAAAAAGAAGAAAGAAGGGACAAAAAAAAAAAATGAAAATAGAAGGAAAAAATGAAAACAAAGCTTTTGTACATACGGAGGGGAAGGGGCTTGAGGGGGGGGGGATGGGATAAAATAAAAATTAAATTATTTTTTAAAAAAACAACTGGGCCTGCTCCACAAGCACAAGGACCCAAGTTCGATCCCTGGTGCCAAAAAATATATAAAAAAATAAAAAAAAAACTACCACCACCTGCCTCACAAACGCAAGGTCCCAAGTTTGATCCCCGGTACCAAAAATAAATAAATACATAAAATAAAAAAAACTAGAGTCACAGATTTTAGCAAAAAACACTTTATAACCCTTGACTGCCTCAGAAGAAATCACAAATCATGCCTAGGAGTTCTCTTCTGTCCTGTGATGGTCTTTGTATCAACATCTCATATGATCCTTTAGGGCAATTACTTTTAGGTCCCTATTTTAGAGAAGTGGAGGCTGAGGGACAGAGAGGTGAACTGTTGAAGAAGACAGCTACAGCTGGGCGTGGTGGAGCATGCCTGTACTCCTAGCACTCAGGGAGGCTGAGGTAATAGGATCGCTGAGAATTTGAGGACAGTCTAGGCTATATAGTGAGTTCAAGACCAAGCCTGGACTACATAGGGAGACCTTGTCTCAAAAAACCAAAAAACCAAACAAACACAGCTATGGCTGAATGTGGCAGCACATACCTGTTTAACCCCAGCACTCTGAAAAGCTTCAGGCGGGAGAAGCACAAGTTCAAGGCCTGTGTGAACAACTTAGTGAGACTCTACTTCAAAGTAAAAAATAACAAAGGCTGGGGATGTAGCTCAGTGGAAAGGTGCTGACTTCAATCCCCACTACCACAACAAACAAAACACAGCTGTACATAGCTAGAATTCAGCCTCAAGCAGTCTGACTCCATAGCCCATATGTATTTGGGAATTGAACCCAGGTCTTAACACTGAGCTACGATCCCCAGTTCTTCCTCCCTGCTTTTTTGAGTCAGTGTCATGAAATTGCTCAATCTGGGATAGAACTTGTGATCCTCCTGCTTCAGCCTCCCAGAGTGCTGGGATTACAGATGTATGCCACTATACTCATCTCAGAGTTAATAGTCTTAACTCTTAACTACTGTATTGGAGAGATTTAAATATAATGTCTTAGATGAACACTTCCTCATCTCCCTCTCCAATGCACTCTTCTCCTTGTTCTTCCCCAAAGTCCTTTGTTCACCTTAGTTCTCTCCTTGGCCCAAACACTCAACTGTTCCTTGCATTTTACAAAAACCTGATACTTGTTCTTCAATAGACTGTTGGTTTTTTTTTTAAGTGGTCCTGGGACTGAACCCAGAACCTTCACACTAAGATACATTTCAGGCCCTTTTTAAAAATTCTTGTACGTTTTGAGACAGAATCTTGCTAAATCAATAAATTGTCTAAGCTAGACTCATTTTTGATCCTTTTGCCTCAGCCTCCCAGAGCACTGAAATTACAGGCATGCACCATCATCCCCAGCTAACCTCTAAATTTCAGCCCATTAAAAATTTGGTTGATGGGGCCAGGGATTTAGCTCAGTGGTTCCGCTGTCTGCCTCACAAGCACAAGGACCCAAGTTTGATCCCCAGTACCAAAAAAAAAATTTGGTTGATGGCTGGGAGTGGTGGTGCATGCCTGTAATCCTAGCACTAGGGAGGCTGAGGCCAGCCTGGGCTCCTTAGGGAGTTCAAGACCCACTTGAACTACATACCTTGTCTCAAAAAAACCCAAAATAAATAAATAAATATTTTTAAATTGGACAATGAAAGATGTGGTTATCTACCCAGATTAACCTCCATATTGTAACTGGGTACACATGTAATCACAACTACTCAAGAGGCTGAAGAAGGATTGCCAATTCGAGGCCAGCCTGGGCAATACAGAGATGCCATTAAAACAAAAAGAAAACCTCATAGGTACACACACAAAATTTTCATGGACAATACTAGAGATAGTGAACAGGGGATGGAGCACTGGTCATTCCAAACCTGTCCATGAACCTTCAGGTTCCCTTCCTATTGCTAAGGGAGTAAGAGGTGGTGGGAGTGTCAAAGTTAAAACTCCTTTACATCATACCAGGACAGGTCTACCTTTCTAGCCACATCTTGTTACATACCCTAAATTTAGGGCTTAAGCAAACATTTTCACATTTCTAGACATTTGCTTCGGAAGTTCTTCCTTCTTGGAAAACTGGACCCCTACTGGATGAGCACCCCCCTCCCTTCCCCTATGTATTTTTCATCGAACTCCAATTCAAACATCACCTCTCAGAATCCTTGACTCTCCAGTCTGACCCCCCCCACCCTCCCCTTTGAGAAATTAAATGATTCCTTCACCTGTAGGTTTGTAAACTGTTACTACCTACGAAGCAATTTAACTCACTGTCAGTTGCTAAGGAGTCTCTCTCCAGTGAGGTTTGCTCCTGTAACGTAGGCATGGGGTAACAGTCACCATTATGTCACCAATATTCTAGAACGAGCATAGCACATAGTAGGTGCATGACATATAGTAGGTGGTCACAGGTTAAGTTTTTGTTTTTTTAGGTGTCGGGGATCGAACTCAGGACCTTGCGCTTGCAAGGCAGGCGAGGCGCCACTGACCTAAATCCCGGCCCTCACAGGTTTATTAAATTCATTTTTCGCATTTATTTATTTATGGCAAGGTCTCGCCACGTAGTTAGGGCTCACCCTGCACTCACTAGGTAGCCCAGCTGGCCTCCAACTCACAGTAATCCTCCCACCTCAGCCTCCAAGTGGTAGGATTTCGCCACCATGCGCAGCTCGCCTTTCTGGTACCGGGGATCGAACCCGGGTCCTTGTGCTTGCGCAGCAGGCAGAGAAACCACTGAGCTAAATCCCCGGCCCAACTCGCCTTTCTGAAGCAACACGTTTGCTAGTTTTGCAGAAGACTAACAAGCTAAAACAGCCGAACAGGTCTAGTCCTAAGCAGGACGCAGACGGAACGGACACCGACCCACCTCCTAGGAGCGGAGGTCGGCAGAGTGATACACGCGATCAGATGCCAATCTCTAGGTTAAGAGGGCAGCCGCGCGCAGTATGCTGGGAACTGCGCGACGGGAGGCTGCGTTGGCTGGGATTTGTAGTCCTGCCCTTGGCTAGAATGAGCAGGCCGGTTACAATCGCTACAAAAATCGACCACGCTGTTCATAGGTGACGTGCAGACTTTGCTTGTTCAGTACAGAATATTAAGGTTTTCCAGGGAAAGAATACTTGATAGCATCTTCAGAACAAACCTCTAGTCGCCGAGTCGGGCGCGGTTGCGTATGTCTGGGCCTTGCATCCCGGCATGCACGCAGAGGGCTCCGTCCCCGGAAGCGTTGTCCTGCCAGACCTCCTTGAGCCGGTTGGCGCAGGCGCAGTGTCCCCGGGCCAAGATGGCGGTGTGGTGTTCTGCACGCTGGTTGCTGGTGGCTGTGGGGACCACCCGGCTGCCGGCTGTAGCGGGGAGAGCGGCGCGCCCATCCTGGGAGGGCGTGGTTGGGGCGTCGCTGGGTCGCAAGCTGAATGTCGCCGCCTTTGCGCCTTCCTGGGGCGATCGCGGTCCCCGGGCGCTGCTGACATTGAGACCCTGTGTCAGCCTCACAGGTGAGGACTGGCTCCAGTGCCCGAGTAGCAGTTCCAGCGTCTAGAAAGGAATGTCTTGACTCGCTCTGGCTATGGGGGTAGCAGGGTGGAGGTGGCTTCCTACTCGGGTGCGGAATTGGTGGGGAGACAGGTAAACAGGAGGCAGAGAGGCCTAGAAGTTGCCCAGAAGTCAAGGGAGACGAGCTTCACGGAGCTCGGGGTGGTGAAATACCCCGAAGGCCATGAACTCTCGCCGTTCAGTCAACATTTCTTGAGGCCGCTGCTACCTTGCTGTCTTTTCCTATCTCTCTACCTCCCGTAGTGGAAGGGAAGAGGCAGCTGCCATTCGGTGAATGCTAGGTAGTCAATAATCTTCCACTGTGCAGATTATCATCCCTCTTTTTGAGGAGGGGGGACCAGGGTCTGACTATAGTTCAGGCTGGCCTTGAACTCTTGGGGATCCTCCTGGCCCTGCCTCCCTAGTGCTGAGATTACAGGCGTAAACCACCATGCCTGTTGCCCCTATTTTAAAGAATGTGAAACCAAAGCTCTTAAAGGAGTTGACTTGAACAAGGTCATAAATTAGTTGAGTTATCGCTAAAACTATAGTTTCATAGTTTACGCTCCTTCCACCACGTGGTAATGGAAAGACATAGTGTTATAGAAAACTCAGTTCTTCTAATAACACAAACATTTATTGAGCACTTACTATGGTACTATGATTCCATTTTACAAAGAAAATGAGGCTTAGATGTTAATTTGTACAATATCACAAACCTAAAAAAAAAAAGGTAGTGCTGTACTTTGAAAAAGGAGTGAAAAAAAAGGAGGAGCAATTTATTTTGGCTCATGGGAAACTGCTACCTTAATTGCTGGATTAATATCAGATTTATATGTAATAAAACTTGAAGTGCTTAGACGTGATATTTTCATGTGCGAGATAACCAGTTTAGTGAGAAGAAAAGAAGGAAATATTGAACCTACCACATTACTGATTTGTGCTCATTGTTTTGTGTTTCCTAGAATTTGTACAAACGGTATTAAAGCTACCTATACGTTTATAAAGAAGGTTAACTAAGGAGCCCTGGCTAGGTAATTTACTCAAGATAATTTCCTGTTGGAGCGCAATTTTGTAATGGTTACATAATAGGCAGTCATTAACATTTCAATAATTGTAATTTTTTTGTGCAGTTTAAAAAGTATGGGTGGCCAGATGCAGTGGCACATGCCTTTTATTCCAGCTACTTGGGAGGCTGAGAAAGAATCAGTTTGAGCCCAACCTGGGCAAAAGACCCTGTTTCAAAATAAAAAAAAATATGGGGCTGGGGATTTAGCTTAGTGGTGCCATGCCTGCCTCACAAGCACAAGGTCCTGAGTTCAATCCCTGGTACTGGAAAAAAAATAAATAAATAAAAAGAGGCCAGGTGTGGTGAAAGCCTGTGATCTCAGCACTCTGGGACGTTAAAGCAGGAGGATTGCAAGTTCAAGTCCAACTTGGGGAATTTAGTAAGACCCTGTCTCAAATTAGAAAAAAAGCTGGACACTAAAGGCCCTGGGTTCGATAACACCCCCCCCCCCCCCCACCCCCGCCAACAAAAAGAAAAAAAAAATAAGAGCATGGGCTTTGAAGACAGACTTGCCTCTACAGAGTAAGTGACCTGGGTGTATCTAATCCCTTGAGCCTCTCAACCATGAAAATTCATTCATTGTAAATGTTTATTGAGGTTCATCCTATGTCGGCCACTAGCATCACAGTTGTAAAAATGGTTGAATTCAAATGCCTCAGCCAATTTCTGTTGCTTGTTAGTAGGTACCCTAGAATCTGTCCCTGAACTTTTTATTTTTTTAACTAAAGAAAAAATTTTTTTAAAGGAATTGGTATGTGTTATGTACATTTACCAACTCCACAAAAGGAATGCAAATATGTACACACACAAAAAGAAACGGGATCAAGGGATGGGTGGAAGTAGGAGAGAGAAGGGAAAGGGGGTAAAAAAAGGAATTAAGATGTGTTATGTACATGTACCAACTATCCACAAGGAACATAAACATGTACTACAGCCGTGTGCTAATAAAAAACAATTTTTTGTTTGATTTTGTTTTTTGAAACAGGAGCTCACCATATAGTTCAGGCTGGTCTTGAACTTACTGTGTAGCCCCGGCTGACCTGGAACTCATGGCAACCCTCCTGCCTCAGGCTCCTGAGTGCTGGGATTACAGGTGTGCACCATCACACCTGGCAGAATTTTTAAAGTAGCATCTCAGGTGCACACCTGTAATCCCAGCATTCCAGAGGCTGACACAGGAGGATCCCTGAGAGTTCGAGGCCATCCTGAGCTACATAGTGCAAGGCCAGCCTGAACTATGTAGCAAGACCCTGTCTCAAAACAAAGAAAAGAAAGGAAAAACACTGTGTTTTGGGGGCTAATCTCAAATTCCTGGGTTTAAGTGATTCTCTTTCCTCAGCCTCCTGAATATCTTGGACTAAGTTTGCCACTGGCCAGTCTCATTCCCTGAAATCCTTAGGTTGGGTTGTCAGTGGTTGACAGCATATAGCAGTTAAAACTCTCAACAGGACATTGGGCAGTGTCTGGAGGCATTGGTTTTGGCCTTCAATTTGGTGGGAGTGTATGTGCTGGTTTACTACTGGCATCTAGGAAATAGCCTCTAGATTTTCTGATTATATCGGATGGAGCCTGAAATTTTGTGTTTACAGCAAGCTGATTATGCTGCTGGGCCAATGACCACATTCTGAGAACCAGCCCAGAAGTAGATCCCCAAAGTTGCATGATAGTGAAGGGTTGGGGAGTTGTTAAGTGTTGAGTGAGACGGGAACTTACAGAAATATATAATAGTGATAAGTGCTCAGGAAATGTAAAAGAGGAAGCTAAATCCTTTTTTGCTCTTTTTTTTTTTTTGTACCAGGGATTGAACTCAGGCCCTTCCGCTTGCAAAGCAGGTGGTGGAACCACTGAGCTAAATCCCCAGCCCAGCTAAATCCTTTTTTAATTATCTCCCAAGTGCAGCCACCTCCAGGATATTTATAGGGATGATACTAGCTATGTTATCTGGTATGGCATTATATAAATAAAAAATGATGGTTTTATTCTTTTTTTTTTTTTTTTTTTTTTGGTACTGGGGATCAAACTTGGGACCTTGCACTTACAAGGCAGGCAGCAGAACCACTGAGCTAAATCCCCAGCCCTGAAAATAATGGTTTTCACCACTTTTTTCTGATACTAGGGATTGAACCCAGGGCATGGTGAGCTGTGTCCCTAGCAGTCTTTTATTTTATTTTGAGGCAGGGTCTTTCTAAGTTGCCCAGGCTGATCTAGAATTTTTGATTCTCCTGCCTCAGGCTCCTAAGTAGCTGAGATTATAGATATGTGCCACCAGACCCAGCTGACTATAGCCACTTTTGAAGTGTATTGCATTTGGTCTCCAAATGGACTTGGAGGGGAGCATATCCTTATACCTATGCCCTGTTTGTTCCATCACTGATATATCTGGATGATCATTTACTCTCTTGTTGAACACATTCCTAGAGTGATTTTCTTTCTTTTTCCAATTTCAGGTGCAAAAGTCTATCCTTTTGTTTGTACTACCTCCTTCCACACAAGCACCACTTTGGCCAAAGAAGATTATTACCAGATATTAGGAGTGCCCCGAAATGCCAGCCAGAAAGAAATCAAGAAAGCCTATTACCAGGTCTGTATAGAAGTCAGATTTAACAATAAGACTAGAAGTACAGCTGTTGATCTTGTCCAGTGCTGATTGGTACAATGTACAGCCCATACTTGTGCGTCATTTGCAGCTGATAGTATGGAGTGGTTTGAGGAAGGTATGCATTGATAGTTAATGCTTCACAAAAAAGAAAAAAAGATCAAATTAAAAACAAATTTTATTTATTGTGTTTTTTCTTTTTTTTTTTTGGTACCGGGGATTGAACTCGGGTCCTTGCGCTTTTGAGGCAGGTAGCAGAACCACTGAGCTAAAGCCCCGGCCCAGTATTTATTGTGTTTTTGAGACAAGGTCTCGCTTTGTAGTGCAGGCTGGCCTTGAACTCATTGTGTAGCCCAGGCTGGCCATGAACTCGTGGTGATCCTCCTGCCTCAGCCCCTCAAGTACTGGGATTATAGAAGTGCACCACCACACCTGGCAGCAATGTAGGATTGACAGCTTTTTGTTTTTTGCAAAGCTGAAAATTGAACTCAGCACCATGTATATGCTCTATCCCTGAGATACATGTTTAGCCTTTATTTATTTAGGTGCTGGGATTGGACCCAAGGCCTTAAGCTGAGCTACATCCTGGCCCCCCAACAGCTGTTTGTTTTTTTTTTAATCCAAAACGTATTTGTTGTGATGGCTTCCCATTCATCTTGATTCAGAGTACTGTTAGTGCTGCTTCTTCCTGAAAGAACATCCTTCTGTAAGCTTTGGTTTTCCTCCTGTAGGCTGGCAGAGGAGAGGAGCAGCCAACACACAAAACTATTATCTGTGCATGGCTAAAGACTGTGGTGATTTTATAGGATCCTGGGCACTTAATGTCCGTGAAGTAAAAATTGGGGCTCTGTACCAGGCACTTCTTGTGCTTCCTCTTCTGCTCCTTTAGAGATGGATGAAGGAGATCTTTTGTGAGAAGCACGTTCTCCAGGAAGGTTGTCACCACGAGAAAGCCAACAGCTTTTTTTAAGTGCACAGTTCACTAGTTTCTAGTACATTCAAAGTTGTACAGCCATCACCACACCAATTTTCAATGCTTCATAAAATTTCCATTGCTTCATAAACCCCATGCCAGGCAGATGTGGGGGCACACCACAGTCTCAGCACTCTGGGAGGCTGAGGCAGGAGGACTGCAAGTTTGAGCCCAGTCTAGGCATGGTGACTTAGCAAGGCCCTGTATCAAAAAATAAAAAAGGGATGGAGATGTAGCTTAGTGTGAAGGCCCTAGGTTCACTCCCCAGTGCCACCAAAAAAGCAAAACAACAATGAAAAAATAGGTCTGTTTGCATTCATTCCCCATTGTCCTCATTCTCCTCAAAGTCCTCATTGTCCTCTCCCCTCAATTCGTAGCAACCTTTGATCTACTCTGTGTACCTATGAATTTGCCTATACTGAGTATTTCATTTTCATATAAATGGAATTATGTAATGTATAATCTGTTCTGTCTGCCTTCTTTCACTCAGCCTGATGTTTTCAAGGTTCATTCATGTTGTAGCATGTATTAGTACTTTATTCATTTTTTGTGACATACTTCACTGTGTGGATGGGCCATATTATTTTTATTCATTTATCATTTGAAGGACAGATTTTTTGTTGTTGTTTTTTGGGGTTTTTTTGGTTTTTGAGATAGGGTCTCACTATGTAATTCAGCCTGGGCTTGAATTCACTGTGTATCCTAGGCTGGCCTCAAACTTGCAGCAATCCTCCTGCTTCAGCCTTCTGAGTGCTGGGATTACAATTGTGCACCACCACGCTTGGCATTTAGATTTTTTTTTTTTAGCTGTTAAGAATAGTGCTGCTGTAAACATTCATGTGTGAGTGTTTGTATTTGCATATTTTCATTTCTCTTGTACGTATGCCTAGGAGTGTAGTTGCAGGGTCATATGGTAACTGGATATTTAGCCTTTTCAATAATGCCAGCCTTTTCAGAGTGGCTACACCAATTTACATTCTCAGCAGCAATGGATGGAGGGCTATAATTTCTCCACATCCTGGCTAACACTTATTTTAAGATTTTAACAAGTCTTTTTAATTGTAACCGTCTTAGTAGGTGTGAAATGGTATCACATTGTGGTTTTAACTTACTTTTCTCTGGTAACTAGTGATGTGAGCATTTCAGGTGTTTGTTGGCCATTAATATGTCTTTGGGAGAAATGTGTATTCAGACTGTCTGCCCTTTTTTTTCAAGTTTCATAAAATTTTTACTTGCAAAAATGTTTTTACAAAATAATCTTCCAATCAAAGAGACTTTCCAATGGGTACAAGTAGCTTTCTGCCTTAAAGATTACCGTATTACATCCAAAGGGGAGAGGTGTTTTTCTTTGGGGGGTTACCAGGAATCGAACTCAGGACCTTGCGCTTATGAGGCAAGGGGAGAGGTTTTTTAAATAGCTACTTAACTGCAAAACCTATAAGGGAAGTGGATTTTTTAAAAATAAATTTTATTTTACCCCATTCTCTCCCCTCCCTTTATGCCCTTTCTCTTCCCTATGTACAAAAGCTTTGTTTCAGTTTTTTCCTTCTATTTTCACTTTCTTTTCTTGTCCCTTTCTCCCTCCCTCCTGGTCCTCCCTTGTTCCCCTTTCCATTTGAACATTTTCTTCCCATTTCCTCATTTTTTTTTTTTTTGGTACTGGAGATCAAACTCAGGACCTTGCATTTGTGAGACAGGCACAGTGCCACTGAGCTAAATCCCCTTTTCCTAATATTTATTATACATTTTAGTCCTTATTTCCACTTTTGGTTTCTCATACCATAGAAATAATGCAATATTTAAATATTTGTGTCTGATTTATTTCACTTAAAAGTATGGTCTCAAGAGTGGGGGATTTAGCTCAGTGGTTCCGGCGCCTGCCTCACAAGTGCAAGGTCCTGAGTTTGATCCCCAGTACCAAAAAAACAAAACAACAACAAAAAAGTATGGTCTCAGGGTCCATCCATTTAGCTATAAATATCTGAAGTTCATCCTTCTTTATGGCAGAGTAGTACTCCATTGTATTTTTAAAAACCACATCTTTTTTGGGGGGGAGGGTACCAGGGATCGAACTCGGGACCTTATGCTTGCAAGGCAGGCGCCAGAACCACTGAGCTAAATCCCCGGCCCTAAAAACCACATCTTTATTCACTTGTCAATTGATGGCATTTGGGCTGTGGGAAATGGATTGTTTGTTTGTTTGTTTGTTTTTGGTACTGGGGATTGAACTCAGGACCTTGCACTTTTGAGGCAAGCACCAGAACCACTGAGCTTAAGTCCCTGGCCCTGGGAAATGGATTTTTTTAAAGTGCATTTAAAATGTGAAAGCCAGTAATATAATTGTTGAATCCATTGAAATTTTAAAAGTTTCTCGACAATGGTCCATAAGGTATGTACAACATCACAGCTGGTACAAAACTGCTTATATTTAGTTTGAAATACAGAAACAATGCATATGAACAGTAGTCTTAGAAAAATAATTTGAAATCCTACCACTGCATCACAAGGCCAACTTACCCAGTATTGAGAGAATTAACAAACAAGTTGAATCTTAAAGTATTCAAGCTCTTCCTGTAAGCGGTCACAGGTGATCTGTGAAAATGGTTCGCCACTCTCTTGACCCAGAAAACTCCACAAAATCATGCAAATCAAGAGGCTCAAATCTTCATGTTCACCTTAAGAACACCCATGAAACTGCCCAGGCCATCAAGGGTATGCGTATCCAAAAGGCCACCAAGTATCTGAAGGATGTCACATTAAAGAAGCATGCCATTCCAGCGTTACAGTGTTGGAGTTGGTAGGTGTGCCCAGGCCAAACAGTGGGGCTGGACACAGTGTCGGTGGCCCAGAAAGAGTGCTAAGTTTTTGCTGCACATGCTTAAAAATGCAGAGAGTAGTGCTGAGCTTAAGGGTGTAGATGTAGATTCTCTGGTCATTGAACATATCCAGGTGAACAAAGCATCCAAGATGCACCACCGTACTTATAGAGCTCATGGCCGGATTAACCCTTACATGAGCTCCCCCTGCCACCTTGAGGTGATCCTTACTGAAAAGGAACAAATTGTTCCTAAACCAGAGGAGGAAGTTGCACAGAAGAAAAAGATATCCTGAAGAAACTGAAGAAGCAAAAACTTACAGCACGGGAATAAATTAGGCATAAAATAAATGCAAATAAAAGTAAAAATAAATAAATATTCAAACATTTACTTTGAAGTTTTTAGTACCACTCACTGATAAGGATAAAAAAGTTGCTGCCAAACTAAGTTGGGATGCCTTATTTCACACCATATGTAACGTGGTTTTTTTTTGTGTTTTTTTTTGGTATCGGGGATCGAACTCGGGACCTTGAGCTTACGAGGCAGGCACTGGAACAACTCAGCTAAATCCCCGGCCCCACATGTAACATATTTTGCAATGTATATTCAAAAAATGCCCAACTAGGTTTTAAGATGTAAACTCCCATTTCCTAGCTTTTCTGTTGCAGTCTGGCAGTTTTGAACTTTGAAACCCTTTTTACAGTTTTCTCAGATGCTTCTGACAATTTCTTTTCTTTCTGAATGGTGGGTAGAACAGGATGAGCAATGACTAGGTGTGGTGTTAAAGGGGTTGATAAAAATTCTTTTTTTTTTTTTTTTTTTTTT